TTCCTTCTCTAAGAGTTAGACAGAAACCAGCTCTTTTGAAAGACTCGCTTCACCTTGAAAGGCATTCCTTCCTGATAAAAGACCATCGGCCATAGACTGGCTGTGGCAGGTATTCACAGGCCGTACACAACATGCCTCTGTGTCCTTGCTTTCACTTTATGACATACAGAGTGAAATTATAATGCAATTAAATGTAAGTCTCGGCCAGGCGCAGTGGCTCACGCCTGTAATCCCAGCACTTTGGGAGGCCGAGGCGGGTGGATCACGAGGTCAGGAGTTCAGGACCAGCCTGGCCAAGATGGTGAAACCCCATCTATATGAAAAATACAAAAACTTAGCCAGATGTTGTGGCGGGCACCTGTAATCCCAGCTACTCGGGAGGCTGAGGCAGAGAGTTGCTTGAATCCATGAGGCGGGGATTGCAGTGAACTGAGATCGTGCCACTGCATGCCAGCCTGGGCAAGTGAGACTCTTATCTCAAAAAAAAAAAATACATATATATATATATATATATATATGTCTCCACCCCAAATGAATGTAAGATGTATGTAACATGGATGTTTGCTTGCTATGAATGTATGCACCCCCTTCATAATTATTCCTAGCTCTTCCTATAACTATTGAATATGTATACTTAGCCAGCCCATTCAGCACAAATTTCTGTCTCACCTTTCCCTCCCTTAAAGTGCCTGCTTTTGGTTTCTTCCAGAAGCTATGCTTCCCAGCCTGCACAGTGGGCAGCCTGCTGGCTGCAAGCCTTTGTAAGAGATAATACTCTCCTCTCCAAATTTATGAATCTCATGATTCTTCAGTTGACAGTTACCCAAGCCATATACTTCTTAGTTGATGAATATTTCTTAAGTGAAGAGCCGCTGAACTTTAATACAAAATTCACATATTTATTTATCTTTAAAACGCTGTGTAATTGGCTGGGTGTGGTGGCTCACGCCTGTAATCCCAGCACTTTGGGAGGCTGAGGCAGGCGGATCACCTGAGGTCGAGAGTTCGAGACCAGCCCGACCAACAGGGAGAAATCCCGTCTCTACTAAAAATACAAAATTAGCTGGGTGTGGTAGTGCATGCCTGTAATCCCAGCTATTCGGGAGGCTAAGACAGGAGAATCGCTTGAACCCAGGAGGTGGAGGTTGCAGTGAGCCAAGATTGAGCCATTGCACTCCAGCCTGGACAACAAAAGTGAAACTCCATCTCAAAACAAACAAACAAACAAACAAAAAAACACAGTATAATCTATTCTACAGCACATTTCTGTGATGATCAAAAGTGGAAGCCCAATACGGAGAAACAGAGACATACCTGCAAAGATTTTTGTATACAGTTTTTTCAAGATCTCAGCTTTCCAGTATAAAACATACATACTTTATGTGGACAAACCAATGGGAAATTGTCCTTACATCTCTCTGCCAACTGCATCTTCTTCCAACATCTATTATGTATGCAATGTCTACTGAGCATTATGCAGGCCTAAGCCCTGGGGGTGCAAGACAGGTAAGGTCTCTATTTTGCAGAAGCAAACAGTTTAGCAGGCAGATAGGCAATTAACAGTTAACTGATAAGTATGTGATATGTAAAGGAATGTTTAATAAGAGCCTTTTCTTTTGAAACAGGACACAGTCGCAGCTACTGGTTATTATACCGAGGCTTTGACTAGAATAACATTATTAGGTGAAGCTCCAGCAAAGTCAACTTGAAAAGAGTCTCTATGGCCAAGTGTAAAAAGTAAAGTAGAGGAAGTAGCAGTAAGACCAATTTGGAATAAATAGTAACTTCTCTTAGAAGCAAAATTTATTCAAAGTCCTGTGCTAATCTTAAATATCTGCTAGCCGTAATAAAAAAAATCAATATACTTTATGTTCTTAGCTCCCACAATTTAGCCTAAATATTTGTCCTGGCATGGTTATACTGGTCCAAGCAAGCATTAGGTTATAGCCTGTTCCTCTTCATTATTTGAAAGTGTTTTTACCTTTCTCAGCATTCCACAAGTTAATTCCTCCTTCCTTTGTTCTTCTCTACCTTTGCCTCTTTTAAAAAGTTCTAAGTTGCTAGCCAATAGGGACAAATACAGAATGTGAGGTCCCGTTCCAGTCAATGGAAACTGGGCACAGCAGTAGGGTGGACGCGTCTGGTTATAAATGACCCTGTCTCCTTTGTTGGGTGTACTCTCGTGGCAAAACTGCTGGCGAGTGTACCCTTTCTGCAGGAAGTAAAAATGACCTTACTAAATAAATTAAATTTATGTTCAAGTGCTTTTTCTTTATGGCACCAAAGAACAAGCATTTGAAACACAACTAATTCCTGCTGCACTTTATGTGAATAATCAAGTCAAGTGTAATAAGCCAAAAACTTATTTTGCACACAAATTGCTCTTACTGTAATTTCTCTTTAGTAGAAAAGGAGGGCTAGAGAAACAGAGAAAAATTGTTTCAAAGGAAAACTGTAACACCTGTTACTGAATTCCAGCCCTGACTTTTGTTTTAGAGTGCAGATCAAATCATGACATTTCTTCCTACAATAATCCTCTAAAGAGTACCAGCTTATAATTTTTTTCATGTTTTTAGTTGGTGCCCTAATGAAATAGGTTCCTTTTTCTGTTCTGACACACAGATTCTCTTGTGATTAGCAAGTTATTAATGTTATTTATCTCATGTAGTTTTACTTCTGAGAAAATCAGAATCATATATCCATAAGACTAGAGGTGATTTGACAAAGCCTGTGAATCTCCCTCATTTGGAATCCCGCCGGGCCCCATCTGTTTTTCATTGCAAATGCCCTGCTGCTATAACTATACAAGCACCCTCCCTCTAGGCCCAGGGACTATCACGTAAGAGGTCAGTGTGTGAGATTGCAAGGGCCAGTTCTGTGGGATAGAATTAGTTTAGACCCTCCAAATCACAGATACCTAAATAGCTAGTAAAATAAGGGACTTTGCCTCCTGGGTTATTATGTATGCGACACCCTTTTATCCATCCCAACCATAAAGAATTTCCTGCTTCCCATAGAATTAAAAGAAAATTACTGAGAGGTTATAAAGATACCTTGTAACAAAGCTTGCTGGGTGTAATATGGCCAGTTATGAGATTTATGCATATATATATATATATTATTTATTTGTTTATTTATTTTTGAGACAGAGTCTTGCTCTGTCGCTCAGGCTGGAGTGCAATGGCACAATCTCGGCTCACTGCAACCTCTGCCTCCCGGGTTCAAGTGATTTTTCTGCCTCAGCCTCCCAAGTAGCTGGGATTACAGGCACGTGCCACCATGCTCAGCTAATTTTTGTATTTTTTGTAGAGACCAGGTTTCACCATGTTGGTCAGGCTGGTCTTGAACTCCTGACCTCATGATCTGCCTGCCTCGGCCTCCTAAAGTGCTGGGATTACAGGCGTGAGTGGCCGGCCTATATATGTATATTTTTAATGTTTATTATCAGCCACCTTGGGACAAATTAGTAAAAGACTGCAAAAATCATTGAGGCACAACAAAAGTCTCTAACTTCCTTAGCTTAAAAAGCTTTAACAGTGCTTATATTTTGTATAGTTAATTGCAATAAGTCTGTAACTAAAACCAAGATCACAGTAGCTCAGCATGTAGAATTGAAAGGTAGATAAGTCAATTTTGTAAACTTGCCTTTGGCTTTTAGTTTGTAGGCTCTTTATTACCGAAAAAAATGTTTTAAGGACTAATGAATGCCTGTCTACATCCATCCCTGTCTGGCCTAGAACATTTAAATTGGCTATACATCTTTTGGCCCTAAGTCCCTTGGCCATAGGGGTCCCACTGAGGGACAGGAGGGACCCAGAGCAGGCAGCCATACCGCTTTGACTATGCTATGGGACACAGTGAAAGTTCGGTGACCACTGATGTTGCTTCTGGCAAATCTTGGCCAGAAGAGGAGAATGTAAAACAAATACAAAATTCTAAGCCCCCAATCAGGACCCCTTCTCTCAGCCAAGAGCATTCTAAAGTTAACCTGAAAAACTAGTTTAGTCCATGATGGAAGTGGGGGTTTGGTGGGAGGAGGGCTTCGAACCTGTCTCACAGCTGACCAGAATTAACATCAACAGAGAGACCCGAAGACTGGTAGACTCTTTGAGACTGAGAAGAAATACTTACAATCTGTTCTCTTTGAAGCCTGCTACCTGGAGGCTTCATCTACATGGTAAACTTTAGCATTTGCAACCCCTTATCATAACCCAGATTTCTTTCTATTGATTCCAGGTCTTAAGATATTAACTCCCTCAACCATTTGCCAATCAGAAAGTCTTTGGATCTGCTCATGACCTGGAAGTCCCTGCTTTCCAGACTGAACCAATATACATCTTAAACGTATTGATTAATGTCTTAGATCTCCCTAAATGTATAAAACCACCTTGGGCACAGTTCTCAGGATCTCCTGAGGGCTGTGTCATGGGCCATTGGTTGCCCATATTTAGCTCAGAATAAATCTATTTAAATATTTTACAGAGTTTGACTCTTTTTGTTTACATTGGGTAACCATCACCATGATCAAGACATAGAGAATTCCCATCATCTAAGAAATTGTCCCCTTACAGCCAGTCCCCAATCCTCTAGACCCTATTAAAAAATACACACACACACAAACACACACACACACAACTTAGCCGAGTGTGGTGGCATGCACCTGTAGTCCCAGCTACTTGGGAGGCTGAGGTGGGAGAATCCCCTGAACGGGAGGCAGAGGTTGCAGTGAACCGAGACCACGCCACTGCACTCCAGTCTGGCTGACAGTGAGACTCTGTCTCAAAAAAAAAAAAAAAAGAAATTGATTTCTATCATCTTAGATTGGTTTTCTCTATTCTTGAACTTTATTTAAATGAGATCCTTACATTTATTTATGTACTTTTTTTTTTACATCTCCCAAGGCTCTGTCATTCACATTTGTGTACTCTTGTGTGTCCAGTTTCATCTGCTCAACCTCATAGTTTCAAGATTCAACCATGTTGTTTATTTATTTTTTGCAGATTGTGGTAACTGTGACTTATGATAAGAAATACACTGTATTTGGTCTTGTCCCTGTTTTCTGGCATACAGCTCCTATCTGCCTTGGAATCTCCAAAATGGTAAGTGCCTTTTTGTATGCTAAGGAGATGACTGATGGGTGAGGGGGAGCTCCTAGATAGCCTCAGGATGGGGCTGGTTGCCATGGGAACCAATCACGTGATTAGCAGCTTGGCACCCTCAGCCTCAAGTGGATCTCTGGGGAGAAGTGAGGGGCTGAAGGCTGAGTTGATCACCAAGGGCCCATACATTAATCGATTATGCCTATGTAATGAAACATTCACAAAAACCCCAAAAGTCAAGACTTGGAGAGTTTCTGAATGATGAACCATGGAGGGTGGTGCCCCAGGAATGGCATGGAAGTGCTGTGCTTCTTCTCACATACCTTGCACTATGCATCTCTTCCATCTGATTATTTATCTGTATCCTTTCTAGTATCCTCTATAATAAATGGGTAAATGTGAGTAAAGTGTTCCCCTGAGTTCCGTCAGCTGTCCTAGCAAATTATCAAACCTGAGGAGGGGTTTGTGGGAATCCTGATTGATTGATTGATTGATTGATTTATGAGATGGAGTCTTGCTCTGTTACCAGGCTGGAGTGCAGTGGCGTGATCTCGGCTCACTGCAACCTCCACCTCCTGGGTTCAAGCGATTCTCCTTCGACAGCCTCCCAAGCAGCTGGGAGTACAGGCTCGCACCACCACGCCCAGCTAATTTTTTTTGTGTGTATATTTTAGTAGAGACAGGGTTTCACCATGTTGGCCAGGATGGTCTCCGTCTCCTGACCTCGTGATCTGCCTGCCTTAGCCTCCTACAGTGCTGGGATTACAGGCATGAGCCACCGCACCTGGCTGAGAATCCTGATTTATAACTGGTTGGCTTAAGTGCAGGTCGTAACCTGGGGCTTGGGTCTGGCATCTAAAGGGGGAAGAGTTTTATGAGACTAAGCCCTCAACTTGTGTGATCTGATGCTATCTCCAGGTAGATAGTATCAGATTTGAACTGAATGGAAGGACACCCTGCTGTCCTTTGATGACCAGAAGTGTTTTGTATTGAGTATAGTAGGAGAAAAACAGTTTGCTTGTTTTTTCTACTGTAATCATACAGAGATATATATTTATTTGTTTGTTCTTCTGTTGATGGATATTTGAGCTATGTCTAGTTTCTTTCTTTTTTTTTTTTTTTTTGCTTTTTTGAATAGGGCTGCTATTAATATTCTTGTATGAGTCTTTTTTGTGGACTTACATTTTAATTCCTCTTGGATAAGTTCCTACAATCTAAGAGTAGAATTCCTGAGTCATGGAGCAGATGGCTGTCTGGGAAAATGCCAAGAAGGTTCCAAAGGGGTTGTATCATTTTGCGTATGAGATTTGTGCAGTGTATGATAGCTCCAGTTGCTTCACATCCTTGCCAACACTTGATGTTATCTGACTATCTCTTATTTTTTATAAAGTGTTTGTCCAATATTTTGCCCATTAAAAATTAGATTGTCTTTTGATTATTAATTTGTAGAACTGTAAAAGATATATTCTGAATTGAAGTCCTTTGCCAGATATATATTTGGCAAATATTTTCTCCTAGTCTATTGCTGCCTTTTTCATTTTCTTGTCATTGTCTTGTGATAAGCATAAGTTAATTTTGGTTAAGTGAAATTGAACAATTTTCCTATTTTTAGATGAGTGCTGTTTTTTACCAGCCTAGGAATACTTTGCCTACCACATTAGATATTCTCTTATTCTTTTGAGAAATTTTATTGCTTTTATGTGTAATAGAACTCTGATGCATCTTAAACTAATTTTTGTATATAGTGTAAAATAGGAAGTGAGTTAATTTTCTACACAAATGTCCAGTTGTTTCGGCACAATTTCTTGAAAGGACTTTCCTTTTCCCTTTTCATTGCTTTGATGCTTCTGTCAAAAATCTCTTAATTGTATACATGTGGGTCTACTTCTGAACTTCCTATTCTGTTTAATGATCTATTTATCCTTATACCAATACCATACTGTCTTGATTACTGTACTACATTAAGACTTAAAATTAGGTATTTATTTCCCCATTTTACTTTTTAAGACTGTTTGGGTTATTGTAGGTCTTTTTCATTTCCATATAAATATTTAAAAATTAGCTTGTTAATTTCTACAAACAAGCCCTCTTTGGATTTTTGTTGGTATTGTATTGAATATATAGGTAAACTTGGGGAGAAATGATACCTTAACAATAGTGACTCTTTCAATCTATGAACGTAGTATAACTCTCCATTAATTTAGGTCCTTTTTAATTTCTTTTAGCAATGTTTTATAGTTGTCAGTGTACAGATCTTACACACCTTATTTACTTATTTCTAAGTATTTTATATTATTATAAAATGGTATGTGGCTTTTTGTAAATTTCATTTACCATTTTTATTGATATTATATAAGTATGCAGTTGAAATTTATAGATTTACTTCATATCCTGAGACCTTAGTAAGTTCACTTGTGTGTTATAGTGGTTTCTTTGTAAATTCCTTAGTTTTTTTATGTAAAGAGTCATGTCGTCTGCAAATGGAGGAAGTTTCTTTTCCTTTTCCAGCTTTATATTTTTTATTTAATTATTTATTTTTCTTGCCTTATAGCAATGGCTAGAACTTCCAGTACAACCTTGAGTAGAACTGGTGGATGTGAACATTCCTACCTCCTTTCTCATCTTAGGGAAAAGTGTTCATGTCACCATCAGTATGACACCAGCTATAAGTTTTCTATAGATGCTCCTTATTGGGTTGATAAAGTGTCCTATTTCCTTATTGTTAAGTATAATTTCTCCAAGAGTCTTTGAGATCTCTTTTCAGTTGAAGGATTTTTAAAATGCCAATAAATTCAAAAAGCATTATTTCACAAACAGTGCTAATTATGTTCTGTTCTCTAAGCATCAACTCATTTAAATCTGAAATAAGGTCAGGGTGCTGTTCTTTACATTTTCTGGTAGAGGAAACTGAGGCACAGGTTGGCAGAGAAGGTTCTCAAGATCAGACATCTAGAAAGTGGCACAGCCAGATGGTCTGGCTCCTGAGATCATAGGCTAGGCTGCTCCTATAACCTTACACTTGTGGTTACTGTAAGTCACTTCTGCCATCACTTGACCATCTGAAAGTAGCAGATGCTACTGAAAAACACCTTCTTTTGGGGGTGGAGAGGGGATGACTGCTGAGTGTTTTAGTAGGAGTACATTTCTACAGCATAGTTATAGCATCCTGCATTGCAGAAATGTAAGTTGACCTAAACTACATATTCATACATGTGATTTCTCTTTTATTTCCTCAGAATATTAAAAAAATGAGGATACTGATTTTATTCCTCAAAACAACTTTAAGTTTTATTTTTAGTTAGAAGCTACCTCCATGGCTTTCCATAAAATATGTATTTTCCTTAACTCAAGAGATAAGAAAGCAACTGTCTTCATGACCCAAAGCAGTATCTTTTCAAATGTTTTATTTGGCAAGATAAACATATTTAGTTTTTGTAATCTCTACAGTGTATGTTCTTTGTGCTTTTCCAGTATAATACTATATGTCTTATATACAGCAACAAAAATTGGCATGCATATTTTTATATGTGTCAATATATGTATGTGAATGTATACATATATTCTGTCCATATATGTATTTTGTTTAGGTGTGAAATAGTAACAATGGCTGCTATTTCCTCAGTGTCCACTTTGTGTAGGCAACCAGGGGCTTTATATTTACTGTCTTTAAGTCTTACGAAAATTTTGCAAAATAGGTATTGTCACTGCCGTGATCCAATGATAATTTGGAGACAGGAAAGATTAATCACTCCATTGAAGGAATACAGACAGTAAGTAGTCAAGCTGGGGTTATTTCTGGAATTCCAATCCAAACCCATTAGTGGTGGCGATTTGAATGATTCTTGCGCAATGGTCCTGGTGCTGTGTGGCTATTCAGAAGGAAGGACACAGGAAGGACAAACGCTAGTGTTGAGGCAATGTGTGGGCAACCCTTGCTAGCACATGTGTTGTTTGGTGGCATGAGGTTCTCAATTAACATGAACCGCACCTGCTCAAGCTTGTTTACTGGAGGCACAGCTCACTCAGCGGGATCTAATGGGAATGCCCTCATTTGGTTTTGGTCACAGTCCTGAGAGTGTGACAAACCACATAAAAGGGGAACCAGGCCTCCCACCAGGTGCCCAAGGGTGTTGCAGACCAGGGCCACCTCTTTTCTTTTCTTCGATGTGAGTGCTGAGAAGACTTGCTTAGCATGTGCTGCTCAAAAAATACTTGGGAGCGAATGAATAGAAAAATGGACAAATGGACTTTTCTGTGGTTCAGTCATTAATAGCCCCTGCCCTCGAGCCTACCGCCCCAGCCCACCTGCTCGTGTTGTATGGAATTTCCTCCTCACTCTGACAGTTGCATTGGCTTTACATGGCCTTTCGGGAATAGCACCTGCGCTACCCTCCAGGTGAACTGCTCTGTGGGGGGCAAATGTGAGCAGAGTGTGAGGCTCAGCCCACAGGGAACATTTCCTTGTGTGGGGCGGTGGGGTAGGCCAGGCTTAGCGTCCGGGACACATGTCCACTGAGATGGGTTGTGACTAGGGGATGGAGCTAAAGATGCTCATGAAAGCCCAAGACCTGCCTTGGGGAGGGTGGGAGGCTTGGCCTGGGATGACTCCCCTCCTTATCCCTAGGCAGACAGGTGACTTTGGGTCCCTATGTCAAGCCCTGAGAGTTTTCAGTTTCTGCATCTGCAAGAAGGAAGTTGGAACAATAATAACGAACGTTTGTTAGAACACGAAGTGTCACATACGCTGCTTACAACTTTATGTGCATTGTGTTCTTTAATCTTTGGATAAGTGACCCCGGGGATTATCACATCTCACATATGAGAAACTGAAGCTTAGAGGGGTTCACAACTTGCCCAAGATGGCACAGCTGGTACCAGCAGAGCAGGGTCCAACCTGAGCCTGACTCCAAACCCAGGCTGCCTGTGTGACCTTCACCATCCCGATAGTTCCAAGTGCACTTCTGACCTCTTACTTTTGCCCCTGGAGAGTGAGAGACTTT